TGCAGATTGTGTCTAAATGAAGTTTCCACTACCCAAGCAGTGTGCTGCTGCTGATTTACTTTCCCACCATCAGTAACTGCTTTTCCTCCACTGGAGCTTATTTCTGCTTCTGAGCTGACGCAGACAGTCACATTGTGCAGCATTTTTATTCCCTGTAATTTATTCAGCACATCCTGAAATATCACTTTTTTTTTCCCCTCTCCGCAGGTATTGCCTGACCAACTGATTATTTCCAATATTTTCTCTTTTTGTATCAGATTTCCAACATCTGCAGAATTTACAAGCAAGTCTAGAAACACAGATTGATATCAGGAGCAAGAATACAAGCAGCAGAATTTTGGATCACCTCAAAATTACTGAGAGGTTGAATGTGTAAGGCCAGCTGGGCACTTTTTAAAAAATATTCATTCACGGGATGAGGGTGGCGCTGGCTAAAGGACATTAGTGAACCCGATGGGATTTTCCAAAGATCAATAATGGATTTGTGGTCATCGTTAATTCGTTCCATATTTGTTTTTGTTGAATTCAGATTTCACAATCTGCTATGGCTGGATTCTAACCTGTGTCCCCAGGATATCACCATGACTTTAATATGTCATTCATAGTCCGGCAACAATACCACGAGGCCATTGCCTCCCCTGATGGGTGCAGGAAGATGGTTAAGTCTAGAGATAATAGAGAATTGAGAAGAATCAAAACCAGATGAGCTGAGACAAGGGGGGAGTTGGGTGATGATCACTGATGTGCAAGTCTTGGTGATGATGTGAATTGTTTAGAATCATCGAGGTGTACAGCATGGAAACAGACCCTTTGGTCCAATTCATCCATGCCGACCAGGAATCCTAAATTAATCTAGTCCCATTTTCCAGCATGTGGCCCATGTCCCTCCAAACCCTTGCTATTTACGTACGCATCCCGATGCCTTTTAAATGTTGTAATTATACCTGCCTCTACCACTTCTTCTTCAGTTCATTCCATACATGCACCACCTCTGCATGAAAAAGTTGCCCCTTAGGTCCCTTTTAAGTATTTCTACTCTCACCTTAAACCTATGCCCTCTTGTTTTGGACTCCCATAACCCAGAAAAAAGATCTTGCCTACTTGTGCTATCCATGCTCCTCATGATTTTATAAACTTTGATAAGGTCACCTCTCAGCCTTCGACACTCCAGGGAAAATAGCCCCAGCCTTTTTTTTCTTATTCATTAACAGGCTGAGGGTGTCGCTGGCTAGGCAGCATTTATTGCCCATCCCTAATTGCCCAGAAGGGAGTTCAGAATCAACCACATTGCCGTGAGTCTGGAGTCACATTTAGGCCAGTCTAGGTAAGAATGGCAGTTTCCTTCCCTAAAGGATATTTTCAGCCTCTCCCTATAGCTCAATCCCTCCAACCCTGGCAACATCCCACTAAATCTTTTACGAACATCCTTGCTACGGCAGGGAGACCAGAATTGCACGCAATACTCCAAAAGTGGCCCTAACCAATGTCCTGTACAGCCACAACATGACCCTCCCAACTCCTATACTCAATACACTGACCAATAAAGGCAAGCATACCAAATACCTTCACTGTCCTGTCTACCTGCGATTCCATTTTCAAGGAACTATGAATCTGCACTCCAAGGTTTCTTCGTTCAGCAACATTCCCCAGGACCTTACTATTAAGTGTATAAGTCCTGCCCTGATTTGCCTTTCCAAAATGCAGCACCTCATATTTATCTAAATTAAACTCCATCTGCCACTCCTCAGCCCATTTGATCAAGGTCGCATTGTACTCTGAAGCAACCTTATTCGCTGACCGCTACGCCACCAATTTTGGTGTCATCTGGAAATTTAACTATCCAAACCTCCTAGAAAATGATTTGAATATGAATATAATGACAAAAAACAGTGGAGCCAACAACGATCCTTGTGGCACACCACTGGTCACAGGCCTCCAATCTGAAAAGCAACCCTCCACATTTAGTTTAGTTTGGGCATGACACTGTTGTTCTGACTGGTCGATTTGAGCATCAGATAGCTGTAGGAGGGAGGGTTGATGTTGGGCACTAGGGAACTGGAGTTTGTAACAAGAGACTGAAAAGCAGCTGCTTTCATCTTTCCAGCATTTCAATGGAGAATATTTCTGCTCATCCCGTTCTGGATGTCAGACCAGTCAAGATAGCGTGAGATTTGAAAGGAACGTAGAGGTGATGGTATCCAGATACACCTCCTCCCTTGTCGTTCTAGATGGTGAAAGTTGAGAGTTTGGGAAATTCTATCCAAGTTCTGGTCAAGCTGCAAGTACACACAATCACTCTCCCTTGCATCTGCCTCAGTCACTTCTCTCTTTGTTACATCCCATGAGGCCAGAAACTTATCCATGTTCACACTGGGGTGGCAGATTCCCTTCCCGATGGACATTAGTGAACCAGTTGTGTTTTTCCAACATTCTGGCAGGTTTCATGATGAATTTCTTTCAGTGCTGGGCCAACAAATTACCATATTCACTCAGCTCAATGTCACAGCCTTTGTCTTTTTGTCAGTGTTATCTCACTTTTTTTTTTAACTGTTTTAAAACAGTTTTGGGGGTGCCAGAGGAGGAGAAATTAGAGTCAGGGATCACAGATCCAGCAGCACCTCATGATCTGATGGAGGCCTCCAATTTATATCACAACTAGAATGTAATTGCATTTTGAACATGGAAAGAACAAGGACAGTTCACAGCGAAGAGAAACCCGACATGTGTGGACACCTAACCCGTGTGTGAACACCTAACCTGTGTTTAGACACCTTAACCGTGTGTGGACAAGGCTTCAGCCAATCATCCAGCCGGTCGAGACACAAGTCGTCATACTGGGGAGAAACCATGGAAATGTTGGGACTGTGATGAAGGATTCAAATCCCTACCTCACTGGTTATCCATTGGCGCAGTCACACTGGGGACAGGCGTTCACTTGCTCCGAGTGTGGAAAAGGATTCATTCAGTCATCCCAACTCACAACCCACCAGCAAGTTCACACTGGGGAGAGACCTTTTAAATGCACAGACTGCAGAAATTGCTATAAAAATGTTCTGGGAACTGCTGCCTCATCAACATATTCACACTGAGGACAGACCGTTCAGATGCTCTCACTGCAGGAAAGGGTTCGAGGCATCATCTGACGTCACTGCCCACCACAGGCTGTTCACCTGCAAAGAGCGTGGGAAGGGATCCTTTTGATCATCCCAACTCATGACACAACAGCGAGTGAACATTGGGGAGAAACCTTTTAATTGTCCAGTCTGCAGGAAATGCTGTTAAAGTTCTCAGGAGATGATGACCCATCAACACTTTCACACTGGGGACCAACCTTTTAAATGCCCAGACTGCGGTGTGTCCTATAAGAATTCTGGCTATCTGATAATCCATCAATATGTCCACACTCAAGAAAGACTGTTCAGATGCCCTCACTGTGCTACAGCACTCAAGCTATCATCTTACCTCACTGAGCACCAGCTAATTCACACTGTGGAGAGGTCGGTCACCTGCACTGAGTGCAGGAAAGGATTCACTTGAAAAGCCCACCTGCTGACTCACCAGTGAGTTCAGACGGCACGATAGGAGTTGGAATTTGCTGTTAGTCACATCCAGGACTGAACCATGTTCATTGGTTAATAAACTGCAGCTCAGTTTTAGCTGTTAACATTCTGGATAAAAAATAAAATAAACCTGCTTTATCATTAAACACAGAGTGGGATATTGTTTTAATATCTCTCACACATTTGTTCTGAGCGACTTAGTTTGGAAGGGCTGTCTGTCTCTCCTGTATCATCCGTCCTCACCAACAGTACGTGTGTGAAGATCATGGAACTACTTTCTCACTGAAATTGAGACAATCTGATTGGCTGTTTCTGTTGCTTCCCTTCCACTACATCACTGGGGAAAACTGCCTCTATAGGTCCTTCCTGTATGAACCCTGAACTCCCATCGTTCTCCAGCTTCTCTCTGATCTCCCTGACAAATCTCATTACGTCCATGAGAGCCACCTTAAAGTCTTTAAACTCTTATCCCATGAAACTGCTGACCACTCAAGTTTGCCACTTTAGCTGCTAATGTTAATGATTCTCTCTTATTCTGTCCCTCACACCTTGAAATCCACATTATCACCCATCCTCAAAAAAAAGACAAGCCTTCACCCACACTGTCTGACCAAATCACCACACAATCTGCCACCTCAAACCCAGTGTCCCCCGAGGGTCATAGAATCCCAACAGAGCAGAAAGAAGCCCATTGAGCCAGACAGCATCCCATCCAAACCCACCCCATCCTCATCACCCCTCATGGGGCTTTTTTACCATGGCTAACCCACCTAACCTGCACACGACAGGGCAATTTTTAGCATGGCCAATCCACCATCCTGCAGATATAGCTTGCATACAAACTCCACACTGATGGGCTGTCAAAGTCAGGAATCAAACCTAGGTCCTTGATGCTGTGAGGTAACAATAGTAACTACTTAGCCACCCCACATTTATCCTTTGCTCCTCCTATTTCAGGTTTCAATAAGGTAACAGCATCGAGAAGCACTATACGTCAGTTTTCACATCTACACTGACATAAACCAGCTCCACCCTCACTACCATCAATCTCCATTCTTCCACTGTCACTAAGTGATCAGACTGGTTATCCCACATCCAATATTAGAGGAGAGGAAATACCCTTCAATTAAAAGCTGAGGAGATCAAAGCCACTGTCTTGAGTCATCATTACAAAATTGTGATTCTGAATTGACCCTCCCTCTCCTTTGGAACTATGAGACTGAACCACATGATTCACAATCTTGGTCTCATATTTAACCACAAGATGAGCTTCTGACTGCACATAAAATTAACAGTAGTCCCAGATATTTCAATTTCCACAATGTTATCCAGTGCCACCTGACCACAGCTGCTGGTGTAACCCTCATTCAAACCCATGTTACTTTTAGACTTGACCACTGCAATGCATTCCTGACCAGCCTCTCACCTGGATGCATGAGATCATTCAAAACCCTGCTGCCAGGTGTTTTTCCGCATGAAGCCCGGCTCAACCATCACCCCTGGGCTTGCTGACCGACGTTGGTCCCTGCTGGAGAAACTCAGCAAGTCTGACAGCATCCGTAGAGAAAGAAACAAAAGATAAAGTCCAGTCTAATCTGGCACTTCTTTGGAACTGAGTTTTCCATCTGGGTTGTTTTCCTAAAATCCCTCCTTTGATCACATTAATACTGTTCATCCCCAGTCTGGTTACAGTAATTCATCTTTTTTCTTTATTCATTAATGGGATGAGGGCATCGCTGGCTAGGCAGTATTTATTGCCCATCCCTAGTTGCCCAGAGGGCAGTTCAGAGTCAACCATATTGCTGTGGGTCTGGAGTCACATGTAGGCCAGACCAGGTAAGGATAGCAGTTTCCTTCCCTAAAGGACAGTGAACCAGATGGGTTTTTCCAACAATCGACAATGGATTCATGGTAATCATTAGATTCTTAATTCTAGATATTTGTTGAATTCAAATTCCACAATCTGCCAAGGCAGCATTTGAACCCTGGTCCCCAGAACATTATCTGGGTCTCTGGATTAACAGTCCAGCGATAATACCACTAGGCTATCGCCTCCCCCGCAACCTCATCTCTGAGTTGGTGATCAGATGAAGACTGACACTGCTATCTGAAACCTTTTTTGTAACCAGAACAAGGTGGAGGCAATGGCATTGTGATATTATCACTAGACTATGAAGCAGAGACCCTGGGAAACCAGGTTCAAATCCTATGACAGCAGATGGTAGAATTTTGATTCCATAAAAAAAATCTGGAATTTAGAGACTAATGTTGATTTGTCTAATGTTAATGTTACCTGAAAAATCAGGACAAAAGAGCAAATTAACTCATTTGTGCATCATCAGATGGGATGAGTGAGTGAATCTCCTCTCACACACGAAGCAGATAAATGGCTAATCCCCAGTGTGAACTTACTGGTACTTCAGCAGGTATTTTTCATTTTGAAAGCTCTTCAGAACATTTCAGAAGTCACTGATCAGTGTGAACATGTTGATGTTCAGTGAGCTGGGATCACTGAATGAAACCCTTCCCACATGCTGAGCAAGTGAACAGTCTCTCCCCAGTGTGAACTCCCTGGTGTAACAAAAGCTGTGGTGAATCAGTAAATCCCTTCCCCCACACATAGCAGGTGACTGGCCCCTCCCCAGTGTGAACTCGCTGGTGTGTCAACAGATCCTATTTACTTTTAAAGCCTTGCTCACAGACAGAACATTAAAAAGATCTTGCTTGTGTTAGAGATATTGAAAATCCTCAACACTGTTCAATGAAAATCTGATTTGTGACTTTTATTCAGAAAACTAACACCAAAAATTGAAGTGGAATGTACTGACATCAGAAGAAAAAGACATCAATGAACACGGTTCAACCCTGGATGTGAATAGCAGCAAAATCCAATCACAAGGTCACCGCTGAACTCACTGGTGTCTCAGCAGGTGAAAAGTTTGAGTGAATACCTTCCCACGCTCAGAGCAGATGAACAGGCTTCTCCAGGGAGTGAATGTACTGGGTACGAGTTGAAATGTTTGCCCGAACCCAGTCCCCACAGTGACAGCACTTGAATAGTCCCTCAGCAATGTGAACACATTGATGGGACACAGAGCCTCAGATCTGTTATTGCACTTCCTGCAGTCTCGTATTTAAAAGGTTTGCTCTCTCCCCAGTGTGAACTCGCTGGTGTCTCAGTAGGATGGATGACTGAGTGAATCTCTTCCCACACTTGGAGCAGCTGAATGGCCTTTCCCCAGTGTGAACTCGCTGGTGAGTCAGCAGGTTGAATGACTGTGCGAATCTCCTCCCGCACTCTGTACAGGAGAATGGCCTCTCCCCAGTGTGGGTTCGCTGGTGGACAGTGAGCTCAGATGACGACCTGAATCTACTCTCACACTGGAAGCATCTGAAAGGTTTCTCGTCAGTGTGAATGCGTTGATGGGAAATCATTTTCCCTGAACTTTTAAAGCATTTTCCACACACTGGGCATTTAAAAGGTCTCTTGTCAGTGTGAACTCGTTGGTGGGACATCAGATCCCCTGAACTTTTATAGCATTTCCCACAGTTTAAACATCCAAAAGGTCTCTCATCAGTGTGAACTCGTTGATGGGACATTAGTTCCCCTGAACTTTTATAGCACTTTCCACAGTCCAGGCATTTAAAAGGTCTCTCCTCAGTGTGAATACGTTGATGGCGTACCAGTTCCCCTGAACGTTTAAAGCAATTCCCACATTCTGGGCATTTAAAAGGTCTCTTGTCAGTGTGAACACGTTGATGGTTCATCAATGCCCCAGAACTTTTAAAGCACTTCCCACAGTCTCCGCATTTAAAAGGTCTTTCGTCAGTGTGAACACGTCGATGGGATATCAGTTCACTGGAACCTTTATAGCCCTTCCCACAATCTGGACATCTAAATGGTCTCTCGTCAGTGTGAACACGCCGATGAGACATCAGATTGCTGGAACTTCTATAGCACTTCTCACAGTCTGGGCATTTGAAAGGTCTTTCTCCTGTGTGAACACGTTGGTGGCGCATCTGTTCCCCAAAACTTTTATAGCCCTTCCCACAGTCTGGACATCTAAATGGTCTCTCCTCAGTGTGAGTATGTTGATGGGACAGCAGTTCCCTGGAACTTTTATAACACTTCTCACAGTCTGGGCATTTAAAAGGTCTCTCATCGGTGTGAACTCGTCGGTGGGACATCAGATTGCTTGAACTTTTAAAGCACTTGCCACAGTCTGGACATTTAAAAGGTCTCTCCTCAGTGTGAACACGATGGTGGGACATCAGGGTAGATGACTGAGTGAATCCCTTCCCACACTTGGAGCAGGTGAATGGCCTCTTCCCCGTGTGACTGTGTTGGTGAATTTCCAGCTCCGATGGGGATCTGAATCCTTTCTCACAATCCCCACATTTCCATGGTTTCTTCCCAGTGTGACTGCACTTGTGGCTTGTGAGGTCAGATGACTGCCTGAAGCCTTGTCCACACACAGAACATGTGTATAGTTTCTCCCCAGGGAGAACGGTGCTTTCTCCTTCCATACTCAAAATCCAATCGTATTCAGGTTACACTAAATCAGATGACTCTGTGAGATCCTGATATGATATTTGGCTTGAATTTCCGACTGTGAATCCTACCTTTGATTACTCTTGTGAAATTTAATGAGAACAGAAACAGAAACAGATGATTCAAAACAGAAAGAACACAAAATCACAAAGACCAGCTTAGAAACAAAGCTGAATGAATCTGGTAGTTTATGGGGAGGTCATGAGGAAACCCTGACCATGAAATCTGCCAGATTTTCATAAAAAACCAACAGGTCACCAATCTCCTCCAGGGAATGGAACCTGCCATGAAGTCTGGATAACAAATATCTGACATCCATGGGAGAACAGAGACAGCGTGGGGGACAGCAGAGGCCACAAAGCAGGGGAGCATGAGGAAGTGGTGGGGGGGGCTCGATGTGGAGGAAGCTTGGGAGCGAGGAAGGCAGCATCAAGGGGGCGACAGAGAGAGTGAGGGGGCGACGGAGAGAGCGAAGGGCAAGAGCGGGAACTATTGCAATAAGACAGCGGGGGGCAATGACTCATCACTAAGACTGTCTATTTCCGGCTCAATGACATCACCTAACTCCGCCCTGGTCTCAACTCCTCTGAAACTGTCATCCAGTTCTTTGTTACCTGTAGACTTAAATGTTATAATACATTCTTGGCGAGCCTCCCACATTGATCTTTCCTGTAATCTCAAGGTTATCCTCATTCTGTTGTTCATGACCTTACTCACAACAATCCTTGTTCACCCATTACTGCTGTGCTACTTGCTTACAAAGCGCCAAAAATTTAAAAAAAAATCTCAGCATTGTTTTTAAGTCCCTTCCTGGCAGAAATCATCTCTACCTCTCTAATCTCTCTGAGCTGCACAACAGTCAGAGATATCTGTATTCATCCAATTCCAAATTTTGAACTTTCCAGACTTTAAATCATTCCTCCACCAATGGCCATTCATTTAGCTGCCAAGGGCCCAGGATCTGGAAATTCCTCCTTAAATTTCTCCAGGTCACACGGTTCTTCAACTTACTCCCTAAAACACACCGCTTAATTGAAATGTTTTCTCATCACCACACAGACAGCAGCATTCAAGAAGGGCCACAGGTTGTTAGAGGGTGACAATATAATCTGCTGATCTTGGTGGTGATGCTGAAATCCCAAGATCAATTTTTAAAAATATATAAATTTTCATACAGGATCATACATATAAAAATGCATTAGAAGCACCTGCAGAAATGCTTGTTCCTAACATATCATCTTATTAGTTTGAATGCACAGTGTCCATTTCACAACCTGATCTCCCCTAAAACGTGCCATCCGTTGACAATTAGAGATCAGAAATTCCTGGACTTGACTGGGTTCCAAAGGCCTGAGGATTAAACCCAGCAGCTCCTCCTCCATATCCATTTCAGCTCAAGCTAATTCATCAAATGCTTTCACAAGAGAACTGGATAAGCACCTGAAGTGCATTACAGACCCTCGCCACCCTCTGGGTGAAATATTTTCCCCTCAAATCTACTCTCAGCCTTTCACATTAAAATTATTCCCCGTTATTACTGACCCTTCAACTAAGAGGACAAAGTTGGCCTGCCTGAGTTAATTATTTGTACTATGGATTGTTTAGTATCATTTTCATAATCGTCAGCTTAAACCTTTCGAAACAACGATTATCATCCCTTAAAATCTCAAATGATACTTCGCCCTGCTCATTGCCAAGAACCAGGTCCAGTGGGGGGAAAAACCTCCTTCGGTTACAATGTAAGGGAGGGGAGTGAAACTCACTGATTTTCTCTGACGATGTATGAAATGGCCTCCTTCTGTTCTGTGATCATTCCATGATTCTGTGAAAAAGGATGTGAACTGGAGACAGGGAGTAAATCTCTGAAACCAACACTGCCATACTCTAAACCAGCTCTTAATTAGTCTGTCTGTGTTTCTGGACTCAGTTCTCTGAACAAGTCCTGGAACAAAACAAGGAAAATACTGCAGATATTGGACAACTAAAACAAAGATGAAAGGCTGGAAGCTCAGCAGCTCAGGCAGTATTTGTAGTGAAGGCAACACAGAATTAACATTTGAGGATGTGCAGAATGAATACAGTGAATGAAAATAGTACAGAATATGATGGTTCACATTAGCTCAGAAGAGAAATGATCACTCATTCAGGAAATAAAATTGCTGACTGTGGGAAGACAAAACCAGTGAATCAGCAGCACATAGTCAACAGATAGGTAACAATGAAAACCCCATTTGGACACAATTGGTAAACATACCAGCAAAATACCAAACAGGGTTAAAATAAACCAGAGATAGTAGGAACTGCAGATGCTGGAGAATCCGAGACAACAAGGTGCAGGGCTGGATGAACACAGCAGGCCAAGCAGCATCATAGGAGCAGATGCAAGTTGGACAATGGCAAAGAGATGATCAGGGTGAGAGGGGTGAAACAAAGCAATGGACGTGGATTCATAAACACTGTAATAGACTCACAACAGATCCAGAGAGATGGAACAACAGCATAGCAAAAAAAGCTGTAAATTGTAGCTGGATGCTCAACAATACTCACTTTTGAAATAATTTCATTGCTTTGAAATTAAATTCTCCTGCTGGATGTTGCAGCTGGAAAAATAGCCCAAGAATTGTTGTAAGAGATAAAGCCCAGTTGTCAAAAATCTTCAGCTCCCTGTAAAATGAGATTCCAAAAATCATAAGTGTCAGTCAAAATTGAAATTCAGAGACAAACTTTTCTCTTGGTTGAAACTTGTCCTGTGAAAGAAGTTTCTAAATTCAAGCTAGAATGTAGAATCACAAAAAGACTTGAAGGAAGAGAAATTTTAATTGCAAGGTCAGGTTGGCGACATGGATGTTGAGGGGAGATTTGAAAGATGTGTCCAAGTTGAGAATTGATTATCTTAGGTAGATAAAGAAACGTTGCAGAGTGAAATTTTGTTCCTGCCATATGGTCTTTCTCCACACTGTCCAGTGAAGTGCAGGGTGATGACCTAAGATTGTGACTGATATCATATCAATTAAAGTTTTGGGGTTTGTTTGAGGTTTGTAGCAATCCTCACTGTACCTGCTTTAGTGTTCTCTGGAAATTTTAATCTTCTGCTCAGTTCACCCAATTTAAGATCATTTTGCTCTATCGAGAAGAGAAATGGTCCCATGACTAACCCTGAGGGTCACAACTGTTTATCTCATTTCCTCTGTGAAAACTCTCTTTTGCCCCTCTTTTCCTATATTTATAAAGGAGATTGGTATTCCCTTGCAAATTAATTGCTAGAATCATTCCATACTTCCTTTTTGTTTCTCCACCATTCATTCCAATCCCTCTGAAACATCGATTTTCAATAAGGTTCTCAACTGTATTTTCTCCTGATGTCTGCAACAAACACACTTCTTCTGGCTGTCTTCATTTTTATCTCTTGTCATTTATGAAGCTCTAACTTCCTTTGCCCTACTTTTTGATTGTGTCTGAAATACTTCTTTTTCAAAGGTAGTCAATTATTCAATTACATTTTTTTCCTGTCAACATTTGACTCAATTATTTTTGGCACAGGTTGTTCTTACTCCGTTAAAATGAGAATCAGAGACCATACAGGATAGAAGAGACCCTTTGGTCATCAAGTCAGTAATGTCAGATCTAACTAAATCTACACTTGTACCGCTGTCCAGCCCCAAGTCCAGAGCTTTGAACATCATGACATTTCACTTGCTCATCAAAGTACTTTGTAAAAGTTGTGAGGTTACCCACATCAACTCATCTCCCAGGCAGTGCATTACAGACACCCGCCACCCTCTGGGTGAAACGTTTTCCCCTCAAATCCCTTCTAAGCCGTTCACTTAAAATTATGTCCTGTTATTATTGACTAAGAGGACTGATTGGCTTTCCTCAGTTAATGATTTGTACTCTGCATTGTCCAGCATCATTTTCATAATTAGCAACCTAAAACCTTTGACACAATGATCATTAATCCTTAAATGCCCAACTAACACTTCGCCCTCTCCATGCCCAGGAACCAGGTCCAGTACTGCCTCCTTTCTCATTGGACTAAAATCATATTCTGGGACAGCGTCCTGGAATTCCCTTCCGAACAGCATGGTCGCCGACCCACACCAAATGGACTGCAGTGATTCATGAAAACATCGCTCCATCACCTCGTCGAAGTCTATTAGGGATGACTGATAAATACTGGCCAATTCAGCAAGGCCGGATCCTCCGAAACAGATAAACAAAAGCTGTGAATGTGTTCCTGAAAACGTTTTAGGAACTCTTGTCCTCTTTCGTGCAAGCATATTTCAGTGTAATTTTCTTCCTAACCTTATTGATTATCATCCCTAGTCTACATCATAGCTAACAAAACTCACCAGCACAAGAATCACCCAACATGCCCCGCGGTGGTGCCTGTTCCTGATCCAGGTCACGAGGGAGCGGTGCGCAGGCGCGGTCCCACCCAGTGTTTGAAGCATGCGCAATGACAGAGATGACGATGGGCAGAGACGCTGTTTTTTTTCTCATCTGCAAGCGGTGATGTTGCGGGACCGCGGAGGAAACCCTGGAGCTGGGGGGAGGACGAGGCAGGCTTTATAAACATTTATTAAATACGTCAAACCGCGATTAACAGCATGCAAGTCCCGGATTCGTGTACCCGGGGCCTTTTCCTGGGCAAAAGTTCAGGTTAACAGCCGCCATCTTGGATCCACGGGGTGCAGCGCGCTTACGTACCAGTGTAGTAACGTAACATTGAGTGGGCGTGGTTTTGGTTGTCTGGGTTTTCAACTGGATCTTAGTGCCAGAACGCAGCCACCCCAACGACTGAGTCGCCACGTGATAGCTTCCACAATTGCTGGGTAACTTCGATATGGAGTGTCTCATAGTCATTGGGAATAATGGAGAAATGAAAGGTACAGCATAGGAACAGGCCCTTCAGCCCTCCAAGCCTGTGCCGACCATCATGCCCAAATTAATCTAAAAACAAACTTGCCATTTTTCGATCCGTATCCCTCTATTCCCTCCTTACTTATGTACCCATCCAGGTGCCTCTTAAATGTCTCCATTGTGCCTGCTTCCACCACCTCTTCGGGTAGTGCATTCCAGGCTGCTACCACTTCTTGCGTGAAAAACTTCCCTCGCATATCTCTCTTAAACTTACCCCCTCTGACCTTGAACCTGTGCCCCTTGTAATAAAAAACTTCAACCCTGGGAAAAAGCCTGACTGTCCACCCTATCTATGCCCTTATAATTTTGTAGACCTCTATCAGGTCTCCTCTCAGCCACCGTCTTTCCAGTGAAAACAACCCTCGTCTTTTTAATCTTTCCTCATAGTCAATGCCCTGGAGACCAGGCAACCTCCTGCTGAACGTTCTCTGTGCTGTCTCCAAAGCTTCCACATCCTTCTGGTAGTGTGGTGACCAAAACAGCACACAATAAATATTCTGGTTTTGTTAGGAAGGTTCCTTTTGCATCTCTTGATGCTTTGTTACTCATTTTGACTTATTTTGGTTTGATTGGATCAGGTTTCTGGAAGAACAGGAATGTTCCAAAGAAACTGCAATTGTCTGTTCTGATTTTCTGTTCTGTACTGATAGTGAGGGCTTTTGTTATCTTGTTTCACAAGGTACTGGAAGAAGATTGCAGACTGGATATTCAAACCAAGTGCCAAATCTACACCTGCCAGAATCACTCGATTCATTCAAATCTGAATGTTATCAGCCTCTGACTATAGAAGGAGAAATGGTTTCTGTTCTCTTTAAAGGAGAAGATATCAAATGTCAATCTGACTGGAAAAGCAACAAAACTCATAAACAGACCTGATTGAGAGTGTTCTGTTAAACATCCTGAAAAAAGTCACATATTTGCAGCAGAGAGAAAATGTACATGTGTGGCTGAGGTTTCAACTGATCATCCAAACTGGAGAGACAAAAGGATATTGCGCAATGGAGAAACCGTGGAAATGTGGTGACTGTGGGAAGGGATTCAATTACCCATCTCAACTGGAAGTTCATCGCCGCAGTCACACTGGGGAGAGGCCATTCACCTGCTCTGTTTGTGGGAAGGGTTTCACCCATTCATACAACCTGCTGACACACCAACGAGTTCACACTGAGGAGAGGCCATTCACCTGTCCTGTGTGTGGAAAGGGATTTGCTCGATCATCCCACATTGTGACTCACCAACTTGTCCACACTGATAAGAGACCATTTCAATGCCCAAACTGTGAGAAGAGTTTTAAATGCAGAAAGGATCTGATGATACATCAACGTATCCACACTGGGGAGAGGCCATTCACCTGCTCTGTCTGTGGGATGGCATTCACTCAGTCATCCCACCTTCAGACACATCAACTTGCTCACTCTGATAACAAACTTTTTAACTGTTCTAACTGCGAGAAGAGCTTTAAAAGCAAAAAGGACCTGCTGACACACCAGTATACTCATACAGGGGAGAGGCCATTCACCTGCTCTGTGTGTGGAAAGGGATTCACTCGTCCATCTGGCCTGCTGTATCACCAACGGATTCACACTGGGGAGAGACCATTCACCTGCTCTGTATGTGGGAAGGGATTCATTAATTCATCCAACCTTCTGATACACCAGCAACTTCACACAGGAGATAGACCTTTCACCTGCTCTGACTGTGGGAAGGGATTCACCCGTTCATGTAACCTTCTGACACATCAGCAGGTTCACACAAAGGAGAAACCTTTCACCTGCCCTGTGTGTGGGAAGGGATTCACTCGATCCTCCAACCTAATGAATCACCAACGAGTTCACTCTGGAGAGAGGCCATTCACTTGTCCAACGTGTGGGAAGGGATTCACTCAGTCATCCAACCTGCAGACACACCAGAAGATTCACACTGGGGAGAGGCCATTTACCTGCTCCGAGTGTGGGAAGGAATTTTCTCATTCATCCTACCTGGTGAAACACCAGCGAGTTCACACTGGCGAGAGGCCATTCACCTGTAATGTCTGTGGCAAGGGATTCATTCAGTCATCCCATCTACTAACACACCAGCGAGTTCATAAGCAACTGCAGTGTTTGGATTCTGCCCTTGCTGATGCTGCTAAACATATCCAGGACTGAACTATATTCACTCTGATGATCCTGATTTGTTGATGAGTTTGTATATTCTGTATAAATGTAAAATTAATCACCTTTTCTTGAGACATTTTTGGACCCTTTGTCTTTCCCACCTGAGTGTTTAACGTTACCTGTCTGCAGTCAGAAAAGACATTCTGGGAGGAGGATGGTATGTCAGAAACAAGTCTTTAACTTGGGTACAGTCTAGAGGGACAAATGGGATTTTAGTCTCTCATTTCTCTTCACCCACAACGGGTCCTCATAATGTCAGTGCCGAGGTGCATAACAAATAGATTTGAGTCACTCGCTTCCTTGGTTCAGAGCCCTAGACACAGAACAGCAGCTCCCTTGCAAATGTGTTCAGAGTCAGGAAGAATAATGATGAATGCTGAAAAGATGCTGAAAAATTAGTGTCAAAACTGTGATCTGTTTTAGAACACAAAACAAAGAATTGCAGGTGCTGGAGATCAGAAACACATGGAAGTGTGTGTTTCTTATCTATTCTGACTGAAAGTGAAACAGCACGTTTAATTTTCAAGTCTGAAAATGGCACTTGATAATTCTACAATAGTTGAACTGGTTTGTGTCACAATCCTGATTTATTAACCAGAAATACATTTAAAATGCATGAGTTAAAATCTGTAATAAAATTGAAGATGGAGGTGTACAATTAGATCTGTGGGTGTCCTTACGATGTTTGATTCCAGATTTTTAAAAGGGACCTGCATTGCATCCAGAAATTTCCTCTTTTATTAATATTGCTTCCCACACATTGTCTTTTAAATATACCGCATCCCAACTGGTGAGTTAATATGATCTGGAATGCATTCCCTGAAAGTCTGAAGGAAACAAATTCAACAGGAACTTCGTAAAGGAAATTGGAAGTATATTTGAATAGGAACATTTCTAAGGGCTTTGGAGAAAGATTGGAGAAGTGGAACAGTTGGATAGTTGTTTAAAACAGCTGACTGGATTTACTTATCACGAATGAAACATTGCAGGTAGACCCTCTTGTGGTGCAGTGGTAGTGTAGTTCCCCCAAACACAGAGATCTGTGTTCAAGTCCCACCTGCTCCAGAGGTGTGTAAAAACGTCTCTGAGTAGTTTGAATAGAGAAATAGGTTGTATTTCTTTACTTTAAAGACTTGAAGTATTGCGCGTAAGTAGGTTCTGACTCTCCACTGTTTCTATGTCAGTTACTGCTTTTTATAATTACTTTTCATCAACATTTTCGGACAGGCTATGACAAACCTCTGAGGCTAGTGAGATTTAAACCTGCACCTTCTGGCACAGGTAGGGACACTGCTATTGCTTCTCAAAAGCTCATCAGTTTTATTTTTTAAGACAAGGAAGACAGCAATTATGTCAGTTGAGTAGTATGGAGAATGCATGGTACGGGCTGAGAGGCATGGAAAAGACATGAGTGAATCAAAGGTGGTATTGAATTAAAATGCTGACACCAGCAGCAATCTGTGTGTTTGTTCTAGATGCTGTCAGTTTGAAGTCACCCTCACAACCAGGAAGTCTGTTCGTGCTGATAACATGAAACTGAACACTTTATTTCATTCTCAGACAGCACAACTTCCTGTTTCTTTGCTGCCAGTCTGAAACCGCACATCTCACTTCTGAGCAGAAAATATATCTGGGACCATTATCTGGTGGAAACATCTGGACACAGGGTCAGTGCAGGGTCCCACAGATCACATTGCAGGGGTATTTTAAAATGTAGCAGTTATTTATGTTTAAAGCTTCTGTTTCAGGACAAACTGGGGGGCTCGATGGTGTGGAGGTGCCGGTGTTGAACTGGGGTGGACATGGTCACAAATCACACAACACCAGGTTATAGTCCAACAGGTTTATTTTATATTAAATGCTGTTAAATCTTTAATGAGTTAGAACGTTTTAATTAATCTTTATGTATAAGTAAATCCCCAAATTCCTTTGCAGTCACTGTCCTGAGAAAACTAAAGGTTTTATCAGTGTAAAGAAGAGGTGACATTTTAGGTCAGACAATGCTTGTCAGGGGTGAGGCCTTGTGAAAAATCTGTTTGTGTTTTGGTTTGGAGTCAGACTGCTTTTATTTCTAATGTAGAAATTTATAAAATGCCACATTGACTAACTGTGTATATTTTTCAACAAAACAGAATGTATCTACAAATACAGATTCACGCCATAGATTCACGTGTGTGTGTACATGAGAGTGTGTGTGAGAGAGAGAGTGAGTGTGAGAGTTTCTGTGTATGTGTGTGCGAGTGTGTATGTGTGTGTGGGAGAGAAAAATTGTGTGTGAGTGTGTATGTGTGCGTGGGAGAGAAAAATTGTATGTGTGTGTGTGTGTGAGAGAGAGAATGTGAGTGTGAGAGTGTGTGTGT